TGTCGTTACGGATTTTTTTGTCAAAACAGGACTTTTCAAATTATAAAAGAAATGTATATTTTGTCAGAGTTACAATTTTTATTTTGGAAGAGATCAAAAGTACTTGGGTTGACAAAAACTACTTGAAAAGATCAGTATAAAAATAAATAGACATAATATGCCTATATTATTCAATGAAACATGTTTGAATGAAGATATTCTTCCTATATATATATATATATATATATATATATATATATGAAGATAGATAGATATAGATAGATAGATAGATAGATAGATAGATAGATAGATATATTTTATTATAGGATATTACATTCGAACATATATGTAAAAATCGCTGTAATGTAATAATAATAATAATAAAGAATTATTACTTTACTGTTGTATTGAGACCTATTTTTAAATTAATGTTGTGAACGTTTGAATTTATACGTTATTCGTTCTCATTTCATTTGTGTATACATATATACACACACACAAACATATATATATATATATATATATATATATATATATATATATATATATATATTTAGGCAGCAATCCTTCCTTTATGCATGTTTCATTAAAAACGACAGACAAGGTAATGCGATTAAGCTTTTTATTTGATTTTTCTTATATTCGAAAAAGACGTGTGTGTGTGTGTGTGTGTGTGTGTGTGTGTGTGTCTGTGTCTGTGTCTGTGTGTGTGTGTGTGTGTGAAATTAATGTATTTGCATCGCGCGGAGAACAATCTATCAAACAGATGTGTACAACTACACGCAGTACATCCAATTGTATAGACCGTACACATGGTACATGGAGTGGTTGTGAAATTATTTTTATAGTGAATCTTTTAATTTGCTAATAATTACAATTTTGGAGGGTGAATAAAAGAAACAGATTCATCAAGATTGTTTTTCTTTATTCTTTCGATTCGACCATACTTTTTTTTTTTTCATTTATGCATGTTTTTTTTTATGTTTTTCGCCGAATAGTGTTTGAATAAACATCGAAATATCTAGCAAAAGCAAAATCACTTATTTTGCTCCAAGATTTTTTTTTCTAAAAGTTGCTCTTTCCTATTTGTTTCATGAATTTAAGAACGATGATTGGCCGTGAGTTGGTCGACGAAAATTATGGTTTCCAAAAGAGTCTGGATCTTTTCCAATACAAACATAATGGATAAATACGGGATTAATAGACCAGCGAATGAATATATTGACTTTGTAAATAGTAAAACAATATTTTATCTCTAGATTAAAATGAGCAGGATAGATAGATAGATAGATAGATAGATAGATAGATAGATAGATAAATAGATATGAACAGACTGAGCTAGATAGATATGAAACGATTAAGATAGATAGATAGATAGATAGATAGATAGATAAATATGAACAGATTAAGATAGATAGATGGATAGATAGATAGATAGATAGATAGATAGATAGATAGATAGATAGATATGAACAGACTGAGCTAGATAGATATGAACAGATTAAGATAGATCGATAAATAGATAGATAGTGGTGGCTCGGCTGTTAAACTAAGGGAGCGTATGTAAATAATCGAGTCACCACATAGCACAGATGGTCTAAAGTTTACGTTCAACCATCAAACTGTCGCTTCTCGGTGTTGACCTCAGTCTCCACTTTTACTTTATATATATTTATATATATATATATATATATATATATATATATATATATGTGTGTGTGTGTGTGTGTGTGTGTGTGTGTGTGTGTGTGTTTGTACGCGCGTGCGTCTCTGTGTGTACACATAGTTGAAATGGCTAGTTTTATCCGTAAGTTCTACCCTAACAGTTTCTTCTCTGGCACTTCTCATTTTGGAAATCTCTTTCGGCTCCATACTTTCCAACCAATTTTGATATTCCAAAATTTAGATGCAATGTCAGTCGCCATCTACTGTCCTCCTGATCATTGTTCTGTTCTCTCACCTTAACGATGTTTATGTTTTTGTTATTCTTTCATACCCATTAACCCCTTGTATTGTGGTGGCTTTTTTGCTTTAGATGGTTAATAAAGAGATTGTGATAGATAGATAGATAGATAATGAAGAGATAGATAATGAAAAGATAAATAGACAGATAGATAGATAGATAGATAAGGAAAGAATAGATAGATAGATAGATAGATAGATAGATAGATAGATAGATAGATCCAATTATTTTTGCAGCTGATCCACAAAAATATAATCAAAAATTGAATAGAAAAACTGATCATAAAACTTTGAACTTTATAAAAACTAAAAGTTCCATGTTCTTTAAAAAATTTTCAAAATTATTTTAAAATAAATGCGAAAGCTCTTACATTGCTAACAACAACATTTTAATTAAGCTGTCTTTATCGTGATATGAATTCAAAACCGCTTATACCTCTGAAATGTAATTAAAAATAAGTTACGATAGTACAAACATAATCAACAATAATCAACTGAAATTTTGATATATGACTTGTTTGTACATTTATCTGATCAATATATTTAAGATGTAGATTTTGTCGAAATTTCTCAAATTGATCAGTGCAATTATTCCACCAATAATTCGAATTACTATATTCTTTTTTGTTGTTTTCATCCCAGTGTTCTTGAGGGCGTCTTCTTGGATTAACTTGAAATGGTTTGTTAATCTGACAGAGAAAATTCATTCCAAAACGATTACTGAATAATTTCTACATTGCGTTTGACCCAAGAATCTGTCCTTAAAAATATTGGGATTCCAGTAAAAACAAAATACTTGCAAATCGACATATGTAATCGAAAAACTAATAGTTTTATTCAATTAAATTATTATTATTATTATTATTAGTTCCTTTGATTTTTGTTGTATACACATTTTCCACCCAGAGACCTAAGGTCAGAAATGGCTTCATGACATTTTATATTGAGTATTTTTGTAAAAACAAACACAATAAGATAACACATATTTTACATAGATAAAGGTCTTCGTAATGTGTGAGCTTTACTTTTGAGTACACTTTTTTGTATTTCTTTAAGCCTTGAGCTATCAGGAATCTCTTCACTGAATCTATTGGAATATTGCCAATCAATCCGAGGGCTCCAACTATAACAAGAATTGTTGATGTCCTCATGTGCCACAATTTTTGAGATTTAGATTTCAAACTCCTTGTATTTTGATAGCTTTTTGAAGAAGATACATTACAGTCTATGGGGACTGCCATGTTAATAAGAAGGCCAATTTTGTTTTAGTGGTCTCTAATCACGATATCTGGGCGATTAGCTTTGATTGTTTTATTTGGGTGTTTTGTTGCAGGTCCTATATTTGTAACCGTGTCTGGGTGGTGTTCATACCAATTTCTTGTAGTTTCCTTTGCATCAAAGTCGCAGATTTTCCAATGCAGATATTGTCCCACTCTCTCATGTCGGGTTTTATATTCAGTGGATGTCAATACTCTGCAATCTGATACAAGATTCTTTCTGGATATTTATTGCAGAATCTGCATTTTTGCTAACATAATTTTTCTGAAGCGTACTTAGTGATTTCTACTTAGCAAGTCCTGTTCAGCAAGTATAATGCCTTCGCTTTCAGCTTTTAAACCTGTTTTACGTGGCCACTGATGAGTACAGGGTGTGTCTACATCAGCTTGTTTAGTACGGGCAGAGTATTGACCGTAAAGAGGTTTATCTTGCCATCGTTTTTGTATCTGGTCGATTGCATTTGCCTTTGCTTTCTTTTTTAAAGTTTTTACAGCTGTAGTAAGTGTATTATGTTTTACTTGAATTTCTTTACGCATTTGAAACTCCATTTTGGACTCTGTGACTTCTTTTATTACTGAATAACGTTTCTTACTTCTTTCATGTTCTTTTACACAGATCATCATCCAGTCTTCTGTAGTTTCCAGGTATCTTTGAAGGCCAATTGTTGTAGTTTTGTAAGACAGTTCTAGTTGAACTAATCCTCTGCCTCCTTCGGATCTGGGCACATACGGATAATCAATATTATTTAATTTTTATGTCATTGGGTGTTTTTGTAGGTCCTCTGAAAGTATGAAGTATTGTAGTATATGGAAGATTGACTGATGATGGATAAGCAAATTGTAATGAGTGAATGTGTCTTGAATCTGAATAGCTAGGTATAAAGTAGTGATGACCAGCCTCAGCCCATTCTCACTCCCATTTTTTGGCCTTGTGCCACAATTGTATTCTATATAAATCTAGACAATCAACATCAGCCTTGGGATGATGCATGCGGTGGCAAGTGAGAAGTTTTAGCATCCATTCACTTAATGTCAGTTATGGTCTATTTAAGGATGTTGAAATTGTATTGCACCACAGAGAGAGCCAAGGAGTTTATGGCTGATATTTTTTTTTTTAATTGAGCTCTGTATTCAATACCAGACGCACACGCCTGTAGTATTCTTTTCTTACTTTCTTCTTCATTTGGATATTCTGTATTCCATCTCCTTTGCTAATTCCTAGGTATTTACAGGCTTCTTCTTGTTCCAGTTCCCCAGATCTAATGAGTGTCTTTTTGTCATTCTCCCTCCCTTGAATGTTACTTTTGCACTTAATTTAATTCGAAATCCATACCGATGTCATCACTGAAACATTTTTCACTATTGAAGACAGCCTCCTACTCATTGCCGTCTTTGGCAGAGTTTCAGATCAACCATGTAGAGTAGGAGATTGAATAATTTCTTGCTTACTTTGTATCTATAGCTGTTATTGTTTACTTCATGCGTAAGGGAGATTAAGGACAGACAAATCAAAAAGGATGACAGATTCTTCATCGGATATTCAGGCGGTTGGAAGTGGCCCTGCCTTTGGCGTGATTTAGGTATAATGTGGTTTTACACATTCCAATGCTGAATTTAAGGGAATTTACTATCAGCGAGGAAACTTTTCAGATTACCAAAGCCTTAAGGATCCAAGAGTGTGGCACACTATCAAAGCCTTTACAGTAATCTATCCATGCTATGCTGAGATTTCTACCTCTTTTCCTGCAGTTTTCCAAGATCATTTTGTTGATAAATACTTGATCTTTGCAACCATATGAATCTCTCCTGCCTCCATTCTGTTCCAGGGAAAGAATGCTGTTTTCTTCAAGAAAATAGTAAAAAACAGTTCGTCAGGACAGATGAGATCAATTTATACGTGGTAGGCAGACATGTTATTGTCCTATAATTTTTCAGATCATCTGTTTTAACCTTTTTTGGAAGAAAATATGCAACACCTTTTGTGATCCATTCTAGGACTTCATTTCGATTACTAATAAGCATCGAAAAAGTTTGTGCAAGGGTTTTATGGATTGATGACAGGTGATAGAGATCCAAACATTATGTACCTTGTCCTGGAGATTTCCATTTTGGGGATTTCCTTAACGCTTGCCTAACATTTGTCTTGGTTATAATTTCCCATTCTTGTAGAGGTTTATCCATCATTTGTTCTTCTTCTCGTTGGATTGGATCTTCTGCATTAGGATTATATTCATTTGGACAGTTCCAAATATTCTCCCGAAATCCCTTCATTTTTTTTTCAAAAGATGGTAGCTCTTTGATATCTATAATTGCATTACCAATTTCCCTGTAAAATTTCTTAAGGTCTGTTTGGAATATATTATTTCGGCAGTAGAACCTACAACGCTTTTCGTATCGTTTTGTTCTCTGGGTCTTTAACTGTAGTTTCTATTTTAGCATTTCCTTGATTGGTGAAAATTTCATTTAGCAATGGAATTTTATATCTCCACTGGATCCTCCTTCATTTGCGTGTTGAGATATTTGGATATCTTGAGATCTCATCTAGTACCGATGACTAACATTAGATTTCCTTTATTTCTCGCTTCAGTTTTATTTCGAAGGTGTGTGTCTCTTTTTGTTTGTTGTCTAATCTTTTCATTGTACTGACCTAAGCTTCCCAGTAGCTGCTAAAGCTGTCGCGTATATGGCATTATTTACTTCGATGATGTTTCCAAGTGGTTTGTCCGTTAACAGTGTTTGCAGTGGAGTGTTGTATTTGCACAATATGTTTACTGGACTTTGTCATAGGAATGCTTGGGAGCTTGTCTCTGACTGACATTTTTGTGTGACTTCCTCTGCTGAATACTTGAATGATGTGGTTTTTCGCTTCGGTGATTTCACCTGTGTTGTTTACAAGGAATTTTGCCCTAATATCGTTTGACTCATCTTCAATGACATCATCTGGATAACTGCAATTTATGTCGCCGGTAGATTCTTCAGTTTTATTACTTGGGAGATTATTATTTCGTATCTCATTTATTTTTAGTTTTTACCTCATCCCCTATCATATTATTTATTTCCAGTCTCATCTCTATTGTTTGAGTGATGGGTTATTGTATTCTATCTTATATTTAGTTTTATCTGATCCATTTCCGCATTTAAGAGATTTTTTAAAAATTTCACACGATATCCCTGCGGACATTGGCAAGCATGTTTGGATTGAGGTAGGGTTTCCTTTTTCATTGTTTATTATTATTATTATTATTATTATTATTATTATTATTCTCTAATAATATTCACTTATTTATGTTTATTGGACTTTGTCATATGAATTTTAGGGAGCTGGTCTCTGGCATTTGTGTGCGAATTTGTCTCCTGAATACTTGAATGATGTGGTTTTTCGCTTCGGTGATTTCACCTGTGTTGTTTACAAGGAATTCTGCCCTAATGTCGTTTGACTCATCTTCTGTAACATAATCTGGATAAATGCCACAGGTAGATTCTTTCATTTTATTTTCTGAGAGAATATTATTTTGTATCTCATTTATTTAGATTGAGTGATTGATTATTGTATTCTGAGTCATATTTACTTTTATCTGATCTATTTCGGCATTTGTTAGACTTTTATTTCGCACAATGTCCCTGTGGACTTGTTTGGGTTCCTGCCGTAGTTCTCCGTATTTGATATGTCTGAACCGTGATCTTCTTTTGTGGATTTTCCAGTGCGGTGAGAAAGGATGCCATGACATTTTGATACCCTCCAGGAGTCCATTTCGTTCGCTTTATTTTTTATTAATTGATTTGGTATTGAGCCACTTGGTCCAAGGTTGAGAATAGTCCGGGTTTGCTGACCCGGTGTCTCATCGTTTTTGGAAGAGTTTGTTCCAGTGACAGATGTTTGGCTCCGGACTGGTTTCCTTCTGATGGACGCGGTCCTTCTTGACGCAGGTGACGGCCAATCCAGTATGAGTATTTGTAAGC